TAAGGCCAAGTCCACATCTCTGCTTTTTCCTGTTTGCTCATTCATAACCCTGCCCCTAAACCTAACCCCACCCACACCTCCGCTTCTGGCTTGTGTCATGAACACCTCCCAGTTACAGATACATAATGAGCTGCTGTGGTTGAGGTGCGCAACAGCTCTTGTAGCTCAACCAGTAAACTGACATGTTGGTAACACAGAAATCACAGGTTTGATTCCACAAGAGAGCAAGAACTGGTGGATTGTAGACAAAACTTACAAAGCAACGCATGTGGCTAAAAATCTACTCAGAGAAAATTGAGTTCCGTTTAAAAATAAGATTAATAAGATGAACTGAAAAGATCAGTACAAAAGATTAAACAATTATGAAAAAGGAAAATCACAAACAATTACGAAAAAAAAATCTCTTTAACAATAAAAAAAAAGAAAAAGTCATAATTACCTTGTCGACGACGCCGAAGAAAGTAAGTGCAGAGGCTTGGGGAGACATATTTAAGAGGACACATTCGAGAAAACTTCGAATTTGCTGTTCTTCAATGCTGCGGGTTTTTTGTTCAGTCACTAGAGGTCGTCTTTTCATTCAAGTATTACAAAGAGAAAGTAAACAGTGTTCATTCTTAAACATGAAGCTTCTGACAGACAGCGATGCCATTGAAAAAATATTTCATTATTGTGAAGAACATTTGAAAAACTTAGCAAACCTTGCACTTTGAAGACACTTTTTTGCGATGAAAAGGTTCAATTTATAAATATTTTTCATAGAACCACTGATGTCAGTGAAGTCAGATTATTATACTGAACTAATATTAAAATGTGAAACTAAAATCATTTTGTTAGTTGAAAGAAAATACATGTTAAGAGAAAAATATATAAAATATTGGTAACACTTATTCTAGTTTCTTATTCTAGTTTCCAATTTTAGTGGCTTATTAACCTGCTTATTAAGATATTCCTGAACCAATACCTGTCACTCAGAACAGGTGGATTGTTGGATTGTTACAATGCAACTCGCTTTGGCTAAAAATCTACTCAGATAAAGTTGCATTCCATTTAAAAATAAGATTAATAAGATGAATTAATAAGATCAGTGAATGAGATTAAACAATTACAAAAAAAGAAAAATCTTTTAAACAATTAGAAAAAAAAATAAAAAGTCATAATTAGCTCGTCTACGACGCTGTAGAAAGTAACTGCAGAGGCTTGGGGAGACATATTTAAGAGGAGACATTGGAGAACATTTTTGCTGTTCTTCAACGCTGCGGGTTTTTTTCAGTCACTAGAGGTCGTCTTTTCATTCAAGTATTGCAGAGAGAAAGTAAACAGTGTTCACTCTTAAACATGAAGCTTCTGAAAGACAGTGATGCCATTAAAAACATATCTTTGGTTCAACAAAAACCTCCAAAAGAACCTTTCTAAAGACTTTTTAAAAGATTCATTATTGTGAAGAAGATTTAAAAACCCAGCAAACCTTTTTACACTTTGAAGCAGGTTTTAATAAAGATGCTTTTAATATAGATTTTAAATGGCACCTATTTTACCCCTTTTTCAATATTTAAGAGAAGTCTTGTGTATCCAGCATGTATCTGTAAATTTTCAACTCAAAACAGCCATCAGATTATTTATTATACATTTCTCCATATTTAAGGTGTTAAGACTTTGTAGCTGTTTCTGTTGCTTGTGCCTTTAATGCAAATGAGTTTGTTCTCCACGTCCACCGTTCCCACCAAGTGTGCCGCAAGCCTACGTTTGAGTGAAGGTTTCGGCCGTTAGATCGCCCCCTGGGGGCTGGCTGCAGTACAAGTCATAAAGCCTGCCTCCTCCGTGTTAATGAAGGAGACTTGAGCCCAAATAAAAAAAAATATTACACTTGCAATAAAATGTCCTGAAAGATAGTTCTGGTCGATTAAGGCACTGGTTATTGTGCTGAAATAGGTGCAGATCTTCATTTTTGTAAACAGTTTTTTAGCATTAATTTAATGCTGGGCGTGTCATCGTGATTGACAGCTGTGATTGACAGTTTCTCAAAGCGCGGCGTCTGAGCTTCGGCAGGAGACTGAAGTAGACTGAAATGTTATTATTCGATTTCTGTGTTATTTTACCATGACAAAATGAGTTCAGCAGTAAACTATAGTTTCTGACATACATGATCCTGGTAGAACACTGTTTATTCGCTAAGTTCAGGGCTTTTTTCGGGCTTTATTAGTTTGCTGATACACGCCTAACCACCCAGATAGCAAAACACAGTTCCGGCTAGATTCTCGCCTGCCGGAGACTTATCTCTTAGAGCTCAGACTGACTAATGTTACCTCTGCTGGACCTACTCCGGATGCCTGGACTCACTACCCAATTCCAGCCCGAGTCAATCGAGCCAGATGCGGCAGCCGAGCGAGCAGGCGCTGCCGCATGCGCCGCGAGTAAGTTATGCGCTGCGGCCTGGAGCTGGCGCGATTGAATATATAAAACCCTCATATTTGTTAACGTTATTACATCCATTTGTGTTGATATGACAGCAAACGCATGCTGAGAAGTTCGGGGGGCGTAGTTGATTTTACATAAAGCGTTTGGTTGGAAGCTCGACTCCGCTCATTTTCGCGGCTCCTCCTCTGGCTCCATCAGACAATCCTTCTGCGCATGTCTGGCTCCAATTTCAGCAGTCTTTTGCGACAGTTTGTGCCCGTCAAGCAGGCGTTTTGCCCTCAAGGCGTTCAATGGGAAAAAGGGCTGTCGCGTCGTCCATATTTTTTACAGTCATTGGTTCCCACTTGCATATAACAGCCATAGAGATCGCTCGCCTTCATGTAGATAAACAGTAAAACAATACATTGACAGACAAGAATTAAGTCGATCTCACTTTCAGATGTTATTTAATATATATTTGTTGTCAACATATATTTATGTCAATGTTGTCATAAAGTTCACGTGCAAACACACACACACAAACACACACACGCACGCACGCACGCACGCACGCACGCACACACACACACACGTTTGTTTTTGTGAAAAGTGGGGACATTACATAGGTTTCCATTCATTTTATACTGTCCAAACCGTATATTGTATTGCCCTCACCCCACCCCATCCCTAAACCCAACTATCACAGAACGCTGTGTGCAGCTTTACTCTCTGATTAAACTCATTCTGTAGGATTTATAAGCATTTTGAGAAATGAGGATGTCACCAATGTCTTCATATTTCACCTCCTTTTTGTAATACCTGTGTCATACCAATGTCATTATTCAGATTTGTTTCCTGATATGTCACAAAAACACGCGCACACACGCACGCACGCACGCACGCACACACACACACACACACATAGCTTTATCTTTACACTGTTTTTGCACAACAAATGAGACAGGATACACGTTAATATACAGTGCTGTATGGTCATCCTTTATGTTAATGTACAAAATAAAAAAAATTAATCCTTTTTTAACGTCAAGAAATAAAAAAACAGACTTATTGTATTTATATCACCCCAATATGACTGTGGACACAATATACCTGCACACAGTTCTGTCCAAACAGCTTACAAACGATTGTTTATATTATTCTATGTTGTATTATAAATTGTGTTATATAGACACATTCAGACATCTATGTTCAATTTGCTAATCAGCATTTAAAAATTTAAAAAGCATTTTGGTTACTTATCATTGACGACCATGAGCTCACACATTTAAACTTTTTTCTGTCAAACTAATGTTTGACATCTGTTTAAAATGTCAGTAAATCCACCACACTTCATGCGAATGGTTTTTTGTTCTGTAGGGATTTTCTACAAAATAAAGAGATAAAATAAGTTATACTTGTTTAATCTGAATAAATGTAATGTGTATAGTCAGTTTTACATTGTTGGCTGATAGATCTTTTCACCCCTAACCATTGAAATATTTAAAAATGCTGTACAAATTATAGCTATTGCATGATAATATTTTATTTTTCTGATTTTTTTAGTTTATCCCAGTAGAGTAGGCAATACATCCTTGTTAATTCTTAACTCAGATTTACAATGTATTTCCTCACTCTCTACTTTAATATATCTGGAAGGTTTTGTGATTCAAAAGAATGCGACTTTTTTTTTTTTATTATTAAAATTATTATTAATTAATTTGTTGATTTTTTTTTTTTCTCCCATTTTATTCATCATTTTTTCTTTTCTTTTTGTATTAAGATGCACCTCTTTTGTGTATTCCCTCTTTGGGATGTTACCAAGCCTCTCATGTTAAATGACAACATATGGACGGAACAAATATGGTACACTGTTTTCTCACTGTCAACTCAGGAACTCTGGAATGATGTGTATATGTGTGTATGCATGTGTGTATGTGCATATATATATATATATATATATATATATATATATATATGCACATACACACATACATACGTTGAAAGAGAAAAAAAATATATATATATATATATTATTATTATTATTATTTTTATTATTTTTTTTTTTCTCTTTCAACGCCGTGGTTTTGGTAGGGTCGGGGTAATGTAATGCTTTAAACTGTAAATGCAGAAACTCAATAATTAAATATTCCAAAAAAATTCATAACTCAGATTTGACCACAAGATGGCGCCATTGTGCCGATAACAGACTTACCTTATAAAATATATATTTAGCAGTTTTGTTTCTAGCTGTAAATACATGTAGAATTAAGATACAGATGTTAAAATTAAAAACTAAAAAACAGAGAATAACACAGAAAGAAAAAATAAATAATCATAAAGATTAGGGCACAATTAGTTCACAGCTTTCTCTCACTCTCTCTATAAATATATGAATGTGTGTGTGGATGTGTATGTGATTGTATATGTGTGTGTATGTCGTTTATTATAATATAATATCATTAGTAGATCCATTATTGAACTTTATAGTTGATGTACTGATTTAATGCTGTTTTACATTTAGTTCATTCATGCAAAAATATATATTTTTATTTTAAACATTTTCCAGTAGCTGTGAATAGATTTAATGAAGATGCCAAAAACACTTG